TGTGGCTTATGAGTCCATCCTTATAACCTGAAGGGACTTTCATAGCTGTATCTTTGGAACATTGTCCCTGCTCCCGATCTACCCAGAAAGCCCACACAGTAAGGATATCTTTAGAGACGGTAAGAATATCTTCAGTTTCAAAGAGCTCTCTGTTCATACTAAGGTCACTCCCTCTATGTTAGGAGCTCCTGCCTTTAAAGATGCTGGCAACAGATGATGATTATCTTGGGAATGCTCAGTAGTACATGCTACTTGGGATGTAGTTATCGTGTTGCCATGGTAACGTCAATACTGGAATCTTCTGACTACCTTATCAGGTCACAGAGATAAAGCACATTAGAAAGTTCAGAAAGTATTTGGTACAGGGCCTCAGCCAACAAAATGTTGAAGACATTCCAACCATATTATAATGGTTAAGTTTATGCCACCTTTAAAATTAATAGGTGTGGGGTTTTGTTGTTGTTGTTGTTTGTTTGTTTTTGTTTTTGTGGGGTGGTAACTTCTTCAGAAGAAATTGCTAATGATAAGATTTAAGAATATTAATACTTTTCTTTTTAAAGTATTTTTCTATTAGCAAAATAATAGCATTATGTTCTTCCTTAATGACTTATTGATAACTACAAATGAGAGCATTTCTCAACTGTGTTCAGAGAAGCTTCTCTTTGAAGTAGATGCAGCTAATATAGAGCCGTCTGGATAGTCAAAGTGTAAAAGTAAATGACTGTGGATTGCTCAGATTTAAATGGGGGCATTCTTATCACAGTCCTTTCCTGAATAACTCAGTAATTTTCAGAGAAGAGGGTGCAGAAAAGTTGCAAGAGCCAGAGGTGGTTGGCGACATCAAGAAAAGAGTGTTTCCCAGATACAATGGATCCCATGCACAGATGAACTCACACTCCTCACAGCATGCACAGGACATTCCCAGGCTCAATACTAACAAAATCCCAGCACGAAGCAGGAAAGGTAGTTATAAAATCACTACTCACTGGAGAGCTATTAGCATTTGATAGCTGCTGGGAAAGGAAAAATCTGTTTTCTTTAATGATGGGACACCAAGTAGTTTGACCACACTCTAGGACAAGCCTCCCTCCTAAGACTACCTAGACAACACAAACTGGACTCAATAGGGAAAGAGGGAAAAAAGGAGAGAAGACAAAAATCTCAAAATAGTGTAGAAGGAATGGGAAAGGGCCGAGAGAGTATTAATTGGAAGAATTGAGGGAAATGGGATTCAAATGCATTATATGAAATTTACAAAGAATTAATAAAACTTTGAAGGACATTTTTAGTATCATAATTCTAAAATACTGCTTGATATCAGAGGGAAATTCAGTGTTTGTAATGCTCACTTAGCATTGATGACTGTAATTTTAAAAAGAATCAATGTGCACTAGAAAGCTAATTTATAAACTCTCATCAAATATGTAGAGCTTCTAGTAAATTTCTCTTAAGAAATGTACTTGCTTATAATTTTAACTCCTTACAGTTCTACATGTAGTAAGTTTATGTATAACTATAGCCCAGTTATGATGCTGGCTTATGTTTTAATACTTGGCAGACTTTAGGAATTCCTACACTGACCAGAAGAAGTTACATGCCAAAGGAGTACTGTATTAGCTAAGACCCAATCTTGTCTGTTCTCAATCAAATGATGAATATCAGACATGACAGAGACCAGGCTGTGTGATGCAAGTGTTGTGAGGTATTTAAAATAAGAAGACAATAGTTTTCAACTCCAAGCATACACAGTACATGCTTTGACCTGATTTACAATTTCTATTTATTATGTCCGCTGAAATAGCTTTTAGGTGTAGTTTCATTTCATACAGAAAAAGGTTTTGCTTTACAAAATAGTATTCCTCAATGAAAAATAACTACAGTGTAGGCCCAAAACAGCTCAATTCAAGTGTCTTTCTGAAGAAAGGAATTTGGTATGGTCTATAGACTGAGATATAGCAATGCTCTAAGTAGGCAATTCCAATCTGAAGTTTGTCAAAGCTAAGAAGACATTTTAATCAAAACCTGTCTCATCTTCCCAAGAGTTTTTGGCCATTAAACTGAATCACATGCCATCATTTTCATGAAGTGGAGACATGTGAAGCATCATTATTTAGTGTTATCAGGGAAATATGTTTTAAGACTTCAAACATCTGAGTTTTAGCTACTAAGATTTATTACTTGGCTTACTCATGGATACTAATAGAAGTTCAGTGTTGGTGCCACTGTTTATGTCAGATGGGTTGTATTTCTGCCATTGAGTTAGCTACTTGCAATATCTACTCTGTATGTTTCCAATCAATCAATCAATCAATCAATCGCCACGATATAACCAGGGTTTGCTAGTTCTTGACTATAGCAGGATGAACCAGGAATGTCCATGCCACATGAGAATGTACATTTCAGTACTGCCGTGAAAAGACCATATATTTCTCAATCAGAAGTCTAGCTTACAATTTTGCACATTGGTGAGGACCCCTATTCTAATTACACTCTCTGTATAGGCACAGATACTTTCAACGTAAATATTAGAAAGCAGTTGACATCTAGACACTAAATGTTGACTATGGTATGAAGTATTAAAATGTTTAAAAAGAAAATCCAGACACAGAATTTTCCACGAACTGTTGACAACTTAGAAATTCAGAGACACCAAGACCAAACTCTCACCTGTCTCACTTCAAATTTTGGTGACATCTTAAGTGTCCTCATATATATCTTGGATTAGAATAGCCATTGGATATGCTGACTTCTCAAATTCTGAGGAATAAATTGTGTCTGGACTTGATAAAAAGGGTAGAGATCTCTTTAGCAAATTGTAGAATTGTGTTGAAACTAAAAACTAAGTCAGAAATGCTACATTTGACAGTCATTACTAAAGATATTGTTAGCACCTCTGTTACAATTACTGGTTTTCACTGGATGAGGCAAAGAAAAATGGAGTTGCAAACAGTGTATTCTGAGTATTCTGAGTACAGGTGTTCTTGGAGTTCTGAGTCACTGGGAGTATTGCCTGACAGGGTGATGGGTCAGATGGGACAGTGTTTATGTTTTCTTTTAAACCTATGTGATCTACACATGCTGGTCAATAGAGCCATAAGGTAGGGACTAGTAGCTCTTTTCTCTCTTGGTGACACAAATATAGGCCATACAAAACCAAATTAAAAGCAGGTAAATGCAGATTGTTTTAGGTGCTTCTCCCAGGTAGGTTCACTAGTTTCACCCATGCCAAAGAACAGGGCCAGGGAAGTTGGGTACCTGGGCTAAGGTAAGGGGGTTTTATATATCTTTGGTAAGAGATGGTCACATGTAAGCCAGGAGATGGGATTGTACCATATATGGTCAAAGATGAGCCATTGTGCAGGCACTCTTGGATGGGTTGCCAAAACTGAGAAGGCCAAGGATGATGACTTGTGAGCTAGGAGTTTTCTCCTTGTGGGTTGGGTTGATGGAAGAAGAGAAAACAGGATTCATTTAGCAGTACGTGGCTAGCAGGGGTTCCAACCTAACAGGGACTAGAGAGCAAACATATTGAAAAGTTGCTGATATATTAATAAATCACAATTAAATGGGTGAGCTAATGTTATGTCAAAGTCCTATTCTCTCTGCACATAGATAAATAAATGATATATTATATCCCCCATAACACCTGAACCAGAATTATATTCCATACGAAGAATTTGTTAGATGTATATATCCTTTTTTACTGATTTTTATTCCTGTGTATTAACTTAATAATGAATGGACCTTATTGCAATATGTCCTCATTGTTTGAATAATTGAATTTTTGGCTTGATTATAGATTGATATGGTTTGTAGTGATTTAATTCAATGAATCAAACCTATATTTCACATTAATAAGGGTTTATTAACACATTTTTACCAAACTACTCAGTTAGGTTGACTTACGTGTTTGATTCTGTAGAACTGTAGATTGTTGGTCAATGAGAAAAATAATATATTAACTATACAAGTGCATTTTCTGTGTGTTTCAATGATAAAACTCCTTTAATATGATTTTGCAATGGCTTTGAGTTACCTGTTTTGTTTTCATAGCTATTTCTTTTATTTTGTAGTCCTGAAATAATAAAAAAAATGTAATGCATTTGTAGGACCCCATGTTTCACCATAAGTTTATGAGTGGTACTAACACATTATGGCTGTGCTGTTCTGCAGGGTTCTCAACTCAGAGTAGAATTAAGAATTTTATTCATCATATTTCTAACAATGAGCTGCAGTCATGGTGAACACCCTGGGCTTCTGAATCTGCCTATGGTCCTTGCTGGTTATACTGACTGACCTTGTTAATTTGCTAACAAGGAAGTTATGTTAATGGAGGAACATTGGAGCCAGGGTTTGACCCAGTGAATTATACAGTGGGGCCAAGAGTGCTTGACTTTATTTCTAGAATTAGACTGCATGGTCCCAGTCACAAATGAGCTGTTGTTTCCAGAGTCATGCTAGCCCTATGTCCTATCGCTCTGGTCAATTTGATAGTAGTAATAAAAAGTCACATTCTGTTACGTACATCTACACCCATAGACAACGTTGGGACTTGTATCAGAAATACTCGAATCCCCCTTTGTTTGAGATCATCTGTAGAATCTCTATAGATGGCAGAGGCTGAGACACTGTATTTGTGGGTAGGTGTCTCTAAAGCTGTGAGACTTTGTGTTTAGCATCCTTTAGTCACTTAAAAGTTATGTGTCCGTAACATTCATATAATACATTAACATCTCCTTGTATATATTTATTAGTGATGTGACTGAAACGGGTTCTCTCTTTTCTCCCAAAGTAGGGATCTGCTATGTATCCTAGACTGCTCTTAAGTTCAGGATCCACCTCCCTCAGCCTCCTGTGTGCTGGAATTGCAGGCTATGCCTGTTTCAGCCACTATTCTCCATTGTATCTTAGCTTCTGTGTGGGTGCTTCTAAGGTACATATGTCCTCTAGTTAACAACTTACAACTTACTTGATTAAATATTCAGTTTTAAAACTCACAATGTGAGGAAGCCAATGTTACTGGTATTTAATTGACCTATTAACATAGTGATTAGTAAGAAACACTGCTAGCAATAGAAGTTTAAAATGTGAGAGTGGCAGACTGAAAATACATGCAGAATATACACACATACACCTGTTCCACACAGAAATCCTTCTGTAAAAAAAATACAAATCCACCAGTGCTGTATATTATATAAACTCACAAAGTGCATTTTATACACAAACAAGAAGCATAAATTAAAAAAAAATAGGACAACAGCAACACATTTTAAATATAGAAGACTTTGCACATAATTTTTGTTAAATAAGAATAAATAATTTCATCACAGAAATTCACATGGCAGTTGCAAAAACAATAAATTACTTAGGTTTCAGTGCTGCAACTTCTTATTTTGTTTGTGATCCATCCCTCATTTGTTAGTTTAGAGCTGTTTCCACAGGAAGGCAATAGGTGTTGAGCCCATCAAATACATTGTAACAATGCTCTTATACTTTCAAACAATAAGGAGGGTTTAAGGTGACATTTACTGTTCTAAAAGGACAAGATACTGTTTCATTGTGAGCTTTTTTGCACTTACTGACACTCCCACTGGAATGATTTTTTTATGCAAGTGAGGTTAGAGATTCTGTAACCTGAGCATTGCCTTTTTGTATTTCCCCACCTTTATCCACCATCTTAAATCCAAGGTCTTTAAGGATTCAAGATACACAACGGGAAGATGGCAGACACAGCACAAAATCTAACTGGACTGAATTGGAATTTAAAATAGTTTTCCCCACACACTGTCATTACTCTTTCCCTCTGTGACACTTCGTCTTTCTGAATCTCAGTTTGCTGTGTCTCTTTCCTTAGGAGTTTTATATACATTCCCCTGCCCATGGAGGGTAGTCATTTTAAAATGTAATGAAAATCCCTTTAGACATAGATTAGTGGTTTATCTGTTTATCCCCTTTCGGATGATTTCACTGTGAAGTGCAAAACTTCATTATTATAGGGAAAAGTAAACCAATGAAAATCTTAATAAAATCTATGATGACCACAGAGGGAAGTAGAATGGGAGATAATCACATTTACTCGTCATTTATTTTCTTTTAATATAAACACACACAAAAATGGGAATTTTGTCAAATTAGAACTACTTGGTTTATACTGTTTTCAAAATTGGAGAAAGTCACATTACACTATTTATTCTCTCTGTACAGAGATTTAATCTTTTATTTTATGACCAATTTGACTAGATTAATTCCTGTGCTCTATATTTGGAAACCTGCACCCAACACAGGCTATGAGTATTATATAATCTGAATTTCTTAATGTAAAAGACCAGACTGGGAGAATCTAATGGCTAATCACTGGTTTGGAAGGGCATTGGTCTGTTTCACAAAATAATTTCTTACAACAAAAAAACAAGCAAAGGAACCTAAGTAAGGTTTCATTTTTTTTTCTGGTCTACTGAAGTAAATGTGCTATCGAATCATCAAGTACATAATCATTTATATTAAGATATTCTATAATAAAAATAAACTCTCATACAATTAGTGGAATTCCAGAGAGGATTTCTCAAAACCTTGTATGCAGATCCTTAACAGTAGGCACATTTGGTATGATCAGTATAAAATTTGCATAAAACAATTTACTTTGCAGATTTTTACAAAGAAAAAAGAAATGCCAGTGGAATAAGAAGATCTCATATTATTTGAATTATCGGAGGAGGTTGTGAAGTGTGTAGCTTAAAGGAGATTTTCTGTTTATGATTATTACTTAAGCATGTGCAACCTTCTTGTGCAGGTAAAAGACTTCCTGAAAACCCTTACATTTCATCACCTACATACTCACTCATACATTATAAATAAATGCTTTCTGATTGGGAAAATTCTCTAATACAGCAGGTATATGCTTATATTTGGTAAATTATGAGATAATTGACTATGGTGTGGAAACAGTCTTTTAAGTGCTAAGTAGTTTGGTTTCTTGAATTAGTTGAATTGATCCAATTGCTTGTTCAAGATGAGGCTAAATATGAAATGATTTCAATACTACTGTTAGACTCAATCAATGCAGAACATGCGTCTTCCAATCCTTGGGAAAAGCAAAGAAGCAAACACAAACACTGGCTGAGCAGAGGTAAGCCATTACTGAAGGTGCTGGGTGTGACAGGCAGCTTTCTGCTGTGTGTTCTCTATGATGACTACACATTGTAAGATATGAGCCAGGAGCCACAGAAAAGGAAGCAGTTGTGAAAATATACATTGAAAACACAGTGACATATTTGTTATTTTTTAAATTCCAATACAGGCAAGCTAATTTTTAGACCTTCGGATATTGATCACATATACACAGGAAAACACAGTTTTTACACCCCAAATGATACAATAACTTGGCTGGATGCCTGAAAAAAATACAGACAGTCAAAATTTAGAGTACACAGAACTGAGTATGTGTTTAAGTGATTCCCCCCCACACACAGATCCTTTCCCTTTTTAGAACTTCACAGAAGGTGCTTGCTGTCAAAATGGTTTCTTTTCTTTTAAACTAAGCTCTTATCTCCTGTAGACTGACAATATACAAAGTCTAATTTAACAGCAGCAAGTCCTTAACTTCCAGTAAATCTTCCGCAGCCCTTTCTGGAAACTAGTAGTTGAAATAGCTGCAGACCTACTTTGGTCAAATATTTTGTTATATATATATATATGTGCGTGTGTGTACATACATATATACAAACATATGTATATATGCATGTACACATACATACACATATGTGTATATATTAATAGGACCAACTTTATAAAGTGACATACCAAGGGAGGATGCATTTACAAACAGTAAAAATAAGATGTGTGTCATGGCTGAACATGATCACGATGTCTTTGAAGACATTCTATAAGAGGTAGGTGACAAGACTTCTCTGCCATCTTCAAATGTCCCCGATTCTACATTCATCATTGTGTGTCTCCTTTGTCTAGGCCCAGGGATGTTCCATAACTCCCACGTTTTTTCTCTATTCCAAGGTCACCATCATTACACCAAGTAGAGTAAATCTTTTGGTCACAGAGAGCAGATTCTGCCCATAACTCGACTCGTGGTGACAATGACATGAAGGCATGTCTTTGTGTGCTTTGGGTAGGCCTTGTCTTCACCACAACTGTATCTGCGATGACCCTCCTGCTATTTTTGTGCGTTAGAATAAACCACAGGCTAACATTTCTTCAGCAAACATTGCTTAAACGCAGAAGGCCTCTGAGAGAGAATGCATCCCTTAGCTAATTTCCGGTTTCCATCCTGGCACTGCACGGTCCTGGTGTGCCAGCCTGTGTCACAGGTCCTAGAACAGGCCAGCCATGGGCCTGTCACCCACTGCAGCTGTGGAGTGTGTGGTCCCACTTTGTTGCCGCCATGGCTAATGACAGAGTTCACTTTTTGAGTCGACTTCTTGGGGACAAAAAAGCTGTAACGGACGTCTAACGCTTTAGTTGGGTCTGTTGCAAGGATCTGCACGATCAGAATTTCTTTTGTGGCTGAATAGCCCATCCCGTGTAAAAAGTCATCTCTGTGGCTCCACCCACTGTAGTTCATCACAGTACCATTGATGTCGATGATGGTCTCTGAAGTGGAGATCATGTACTTGCCGTTGATAAGGTACTCGCCAGTTTTCTTCTTTAGGGCTAAGTAAGCAGTGAATCTAGTCTGGTCTTTGGCTTTGAACTGTCGGACTTTTATGTGGGTTGCTCCTTCAGGGATCCTCACAACGTCAGTATAACCCTTGCTGTAGGCAGGGATATCCACATCAGCGGTTGGGAAAAGAAGGGGGCAGTGAGATAGAATTAGTATATGGCTATACGTGGATAAACAAATAGAATTTTTCTAAAAGTTTTTCCTCATCTTAATACAAATCTTTAATGTATTTAAGAGCTTATGTTTAAATTGGCTTTAAACTTTTCCATAGGACAAACTAAAATTGCTGTAGAACATTACATTTTATAAGTTGCTTTTGAGATACTAAAAATTAGAACGATGCTAGCAAACCGTTCATATTTTTAAAAATGGGTTTAGAGATTTATATGATCATTTTATCTTTATTTGTACCACATTTGTACATGTGTAGCACATCTATAAAGGTATTTATGTTTTTCCAGCACAAGCATAAGGCCACTATGCTATATGTGAGTGTAAACGGCCAAGTCTGTCTCAGTTCCTCTCGTGGAAATACTTAGTGTTTTTAAATTCAGATATTGGACTCACTAGCAAATATTTTAGTAAGCCCTAATCCTGTGTTCCGGGTCTGGCAAATCTTTGTCTTTCAAGGTGGGCTACAGGGGCTGTTCTTTATAGTGCTCCAATGTGCAGACTTACTGATGAGGACAGGCTTAGTTGCTTATTGAACTGGCATTAGAGCAAACTGAGTCTCTGCCTCTAGAAGCCTTATTAGATTTTCTGGGGTGAGAAATTAAATGAAAGACAAAACTTGTCACTAGACCATGGGTACTTACTATTATTCTAAGAAAATCTGATTTTAACGTTTCATGATGTTTGAATGTTTCATCTTCACCTGACAATATGATAAATTGGTTGAGGAGATTTATTGGGAAAAACAATAAGCTGATCTTGAAAGTTACATCATCTGTGCAGGAGGAACAAATGTCTCTAATGTCCACAAACCTTGTTGAACTATAGCATCAATGCTAATTAAGTACTGGGACACTATGCCAAGTAGAAGGCTTCATCTTTTGCCAAAATATTTGCTTTTACAATAGGCCATACTAAAGGTTAAAGGTATATTATTTGTTAATATGCCCTCAAATGTTTCTCAGTAATTTGAATAGATGTAGCATTGCATGTGCAGATTGACTATTGTGAGATTAAATTGTGTAATTTCTAACTCTTCCTAGGTTCAAGATTATATGTTAAAAATCTAAGTTTACATCCCTTGACTTGAACAAAGGAAGTCCTGTGTCTGAAGTCTAGTGTCTGCCTCACATATGGCAGAACCTCTGCACCATAGAGAGAGCAGTGTTGCCTGAGGTACTGATGTTTCTGTCTATCTGGATTCATTATGTTTATTGTTTTAATATTACTTAAGATAAGACATTGTTCCTCAATTTTGTGGTAGTTTCTAAAACTGTTACATGACATACAATCCTACAAGGGCTTCAAGGTCGGAAGGACTGTTGGAGATGATGTCACATTTTACACACAAAAAAATAGAAAGTGAGAACACAGTAAAAATCTTTGAATGAGTAAATCACAGAGCTTGGTATTGTCAGTGCTGGGTTTAAAAGCCAGGCCCATGGTCTAAACATAATTGTTATAAAATATGATAAATTCAGAAAGGGATTTCCTGCATGTCAGTTGTTCATCATGAATTTCTTCCTCAATGCATGTGACTTCAAGAGCACACGTAGTTACAAATTCAGAAAACGTAAGCATTGCATTTAGCACTTTGTAAAGAAGCTTTCAACTTCATGTAGAGGAGCATACAGAGTAGGATTGGTGAGGTATTACCTTAAACATTATATTCCTCTTTCTAAACCATATTCTTTCTCTCTGTATCATCTTCCTTCGGTATCACTTTTCTGGTCTCTTTCTAATGTCCTTCCTCTTACTCTCCCCTCATTCTTTTCTGCCTTTCCCTCCTTTTCTGTCTGCGCTCTTTCCACTTCTCTCTTCCTATCTTTTCTTACATTACAAAATGTACCCCACACCCACGACCTCAGGTACAGCCTCCACTCTGTTTTGGCATTCACCCACTATGGTGAATTATGTAAGTCTTAAACATTCAAGTTTTAGCTTCCTCATTTGTAAAACAAAAGTATGAGGTTCTAGTCTGTAAGCTGTCTTGCATATCTTAGATATGGAAAGATATAAAATATAACTGGCTCTTCAGGCTTGGTATGATGGTACATTATGTTCAAATGGTCCTGATGTCAATATTTAGGAAGATTAATAATATGTATCTATCATCAGATTAATTCTTCAGCTTTTAAAATTATAAGAAACAGAATTTTAAGGTTTTCAAATTAGTATAGTACTTAGTCCTTTTAATGAACCTGCTAATGTGGTCAGCAGATTGCTGACAATTTGGAGAAAACAAAGTAGCCATGCATGTCAGCATGCAGGTATACTCCACCTAGACACTCAACATGGGAGAGGTCTGTCAGATGCTTCAGTAATACCAGGTATCCTTCTGACAATAGTGTATTTGATTCCAGAAACTGTGATTTAAGATCTCATGAGTTTAAAGCAAAAGTATGGAAACAGGAGACATTTCTGTGTGTCTGTCCTTATGGAGTGGACAGAAACCAGATCACCTCATTGCCACAGTGGCTCAATTAACTTAAATTTTGCAGGGAGAAATGTTTTCTAAAGGAAAACACACTGTTTGCTAGAAAAATAGTGAAGAGAGCCAAGAGTGGCATCTTACACACCGAATCCCAGCATAGAGGCAATGTGATGACCAGACATTCAAGGGTTCAAGGTTTCCCTGGTCTGCATGCCAAGACCATGTCTTCAAAAAAACCCTCACAAAACAAACAAAAAACAAAACAAAACAAATAGACAAACCAAAAAAATCCAAATGGCAGCAATGGAAGATAGATGAAGAGAGGAAACATCACGTCATGGAGTGGAAGCAGGAGGACTGAGTGTATGACCAAAATACATTGTATAAATGCATGAAATATTCCTAGAATAGATTAAAAATAGCATGAAAGGAGCTGAAGAAGGATGGCTCAGTGGTTAGAAGTACTGTGTATGCTCTTCCAGAGGACTTGGATTCAGTTCCCAGCACCCACATGGTGGCTCACAACTTTCTATACCTTCAGTTCCTAGGAGATCAGATGCCCTCTTCTGGCCTTTTTCAGCTGCAGGCAAACAATTGGTGTATAGATGTACAGACAGACAAACCCCACACACACATAAAATAAAACTTTAAAATATCATGAACTCAAGATAAGGCCAATCATGCGAGGCATTAGGAAATGCAACTTTGCCGATCCCACTTTAAAGAACAGTGCCCACTTTTTCTTTTGGCTCTTTAATCCTAAATTATCCCTCCATGGTTGGTGTTCCAGTTTATCTGCTTCTAGAGACAAAAGTTTTTGTCAGCCGCAGAACCCTATTCCACTCTTCTCCTCCCCTGCTCCTATGTGGAATGCATTGCTAAACCAACATTAAACCTTCTCTTCAAGGAGAAGATGAGTTAACGTGTCTCCAGTATCAGCTTTGCAGGAGTCTAAGACCTTGTTTAATTCACACAAGTGCAGGGTACTGTCATGTTACCTTTTTTTATTGAAGGTTCCGATAATCTTTGTACAACTGGAGTTATCTCCTCCGCATACTCCACACTTGTCATACTGTAGCTTTGAGCCAATGATGCCATCACATCCAGTTCTCACACACCTTCCTCGGACACACACGGAGTTGCTGTATGGCCTACATTCGGTCCCATCAGTAACCTGCATATGAGAACATTATCAGCAATAGGGCTATCTAGGCTCAAGGATTTGGTTCCTTTACGTAAGGAGAAAATTGTAATTTGTGAACTTTTATTGTAATAAATTATACTCTGAGAAATAAGGCAGTGATGGCTCATTGTTTAAGAACATAGACTGCCTTGTAGAAGACCCAACTTCAGTTGCTAGGACTCACAAAAGGTGATTCACTGCAACCTGTAACTCTAACTCGAGGAAGGATCCAATGCTATTGGCCTTCCCTGGTGTCTGCTCTCATGTGCACATAACAACATACATGCACACACATGCATATATAATTAAAAGATAAAATAAATTTTAAAAACTAATCTATCAAAAAGCAATCAACCATTTAGTTTCTAGAAGATTATAGAATATGCATAATACATTTTTATTGGGAAGGTCTGGTTATACACTTTCTCTCTTAAACTTCTTGCTGAATATATCTGTTGATTCAAATTACTATTTTCCATTTTTGTATTCATAACACAGTCCCACTGTATCGTCTTGTATTTTTACACTGGTGAAAAGAATCTTTTAATTTCATGGAAGGCTATTCCTCCTGTAGAGATTTGAACATTAGAAAGCTTAAGAATACAAAGATTCTTTGTTCAGTAACTGTTAGTTTAGCAGTAAATTCAAAAATCTAGACTTATTTAAAACCTGTCATAGTTATTGTGTGTTGAAGTTTCAAGCATCGAAGTAAAGTCACATTCATGCAGAAAACAGATCCTGGCAAGGTGTGTTTCTGAAAAGGTATGGAATAGAATGAATACTTGGTTCTGAATTAAGGAAAAAGGATATGTTGTTGTTTCAAAGCCATTTAAAACATAGCTGTGATGTGCTTGTGTGCATGCATATTCATATATATGTAAAATGCATTTTACATTTGTGTACATATGACTCAGACATGTGGGTTTGTGATTTTGTGTGTTTCTTTGTAAACTGAAATAGACTATCCCTCAAAATGTTAATAGTTATCTTCTTAGTTACAGTTTTAGTTCTTTGTTTTTACTTCTATTTAATACTTTTAGGGAAATGTATTACTTAATATCTAAATAGATATGATATATTAAAAGACACATGAATTGGACACTGGTTCATTTTTCAGTGGTATATGATGTAAAGATATAAGTATACAGATACAGATGAAGGCTGATTTCAGGGGTGTTTTTAAACACATCATATGTTTAAAAATTAGATAAGTAGTGTTTTTAAATTGCTGCATAATACAGAAAATAATGAAAAATCCCTTTAGTATTTTAGAAAATGTTTATCTGTGAAAGATATGGAATAACCATATACATATCTTAGAATGCAAGTGACTGGAAGGATTTTGATTCGTGGTGAGGGTCTAATACTTACTCTAAATCTAGAGTCAGAGACAATGACCTTGAAACCTATCGTTAAGATTGAATACATAAATTCTTAAATAGCTGGATAATAGAAATCTTTCTTCCCTAATAGTCCTCTCACAAAATTTGTCTGGAAAGATGCACATTCTTTTCTAGGTTATTTTGAAGTTGATATGATAATCTATTTTCCCACACAGTGAACTATATTTTTTAAAAACTCATTTTTAAAACATGTGCTGGTTCTGTTAAAATGTTTTTAGACCACTGTGTAAAGTTTGAAATGCAGAAATGTATAGAGATCAAAACAAAACCTTCCCAAATCTGTCCTGACAATAATGACTGCGTACATTCAGCATTTACAGAATTTTTTTTATGAAGTCATTTCTGCCCAGAATGCCCACTGTTCCAGACACAGAGAGGTAGTTACCTTGGGAGAAAAGACCACATAGTAGCCAGTGCCCTTAGCTCTGCAGGTAAGCTTGCACACATCTGCTGGAAGGACACCTGCATATTTGGGGACCCATTCTACAAATGTTTTGACTCCTTTTGCATCAGACTGATAGCCATTTTTGGCTTCACACTGCTCATGGCGAAAAGATTTACCTAGAAAACAAAACGTTTGACATTCACACCTTTTTAAGTTTAACATAAAATCTTAATAATTTCTGTTCATAAGAGCTCCTTATGCACTACCTGTTAAGAAAGTACCTTCATACAAACAGAATTGAAAACAGAAGTGTTGTCTCTCCATCTCTTGGAAACACTGTTGTCTGTGACAAATTAAAAACCACCCCCCCATATTTGTTAGTAACTCACATATGTGTGCCTCTGTCCAGTATGAAATTAATGCTACTTCTCCAGCCTTCCCTGTTTATTTCTATGAAAATAGGGATAATGCATGACATATGTGCTTACTGACACCTGAGGGCAGCATACCATTAGGGGGGCAGGGTGTGACACTGCAGGAACGGTATATGGCTCTCTTTCCTGTGCAGTAGCGGCCACTGTTCCGAGGTGCAGGGTTATTGCAATGGCGATAGGCAAACTGTACTCCTCCCCCGCAGGAGCGAGAACACTGACCCCAGGGTCCCCAGGACCCCCAATTACCATGGCTTGATGTCTGAAACAGAAAGCAGAAGATGTTTTAACTCTCTTTGGAAAAATATCCCACATGTATATTGCAGTCCCTTGAGTATATCATCCCAATGGGTGCTTATGTGCCAATTAAGGGTTTGCAGCCCATTTCCAATGCTAAGCAAGTCATCTTTATTCAGAACTTCATTTTTAGCAGCACAGGATCTAAAGCGTCACCCTATGTAACGAGCACATGTCAAAGATTGCATCCTGTTTTCTCCAGACATTGTATTTCCCTACTTCTGATACTGTAGAACTCTAGCTTATAACCACAGATAACTGTTAACATTCTTTGTACTTAACTCTTGGACCAATAATGAAAAATACATCATGCTGAAACCTTTGTATGATGTTGGGCATTTACATTTTTTCTTTCTATTTAGTCCTTAAGTTCTGAGGTCTGTTTGTTGACATCACACATTCTGTCTATGATAGACTACTTCATTCTTGAATGCATTTGAGCTGGGCTCTGGTAAATTCCCAATTAGATGTGACAGACAATGCAAGGCACCTTCAGTCTGTGTGCTCAGACATTGTGCTTTCCATATGGAAAGACAACCCTAGATATCAAACCCTTGTTTTTTTTTCCTATGGAGACACGGTAGGAGGAAGCCGAGAAACTATATTAGGTGTAATAATATGAGTTATTTTGACTAGGAGATATAAGTTTCTGGTCACCTGTGTCAGGATATCTGACAAGACACAGGCGATATGAACTGTCTTCTGCATTGTTAGCATATTCTTGGGGACGGCCTCTAGGGCACCATAGCTCCTAATATTATATACATTTTCTATTGGGAAAAAGTGACCATGTGGGACCTTACAAGACATGAGCAAGGACCATAACATCTGCTCCACCACTGTTTCCTTACTGTTCAGCAGACATGTTCTGATAACTTTAAGAAGAGGATTTCAAAAGCAAGTCTCCAAAAAAGCACACAGAGGCTCCATGTTGAGTGCTCATCTCAGTTGATTTGTGAAATTTGTCAATCTGGATTTACTTGTGAGATGCTGGAATTTGCCAAGAAACCCCTGCTAGTTGCGCGTTTTCCTTTGTTTGGTTACAGGAAGGGCTGTCATAGATGGGAAATAAAACTTTATAGATTATTGAAGGACACCATCTTTTAACTGGGAAATAAAGCCCTCTGATCACAACGACCATGCATGCTTGGAAAAGCACTTCCTGTGTTGGGTCTCTAGGTTTTAGTTGACAAGAAAACCACTTACCGAGTAATATTTTTTCTTAGTTTTGTCCACACATTTGCCTTGCAGGCAGATTCTTCCCTTCCCACAGGGAGTGCCCTCCACAGCAGGCAGCTTCTTGGTCAGACACACCATTTGGCCTTGGCGCACCACAGCACACCACAGCCGGGCACAGACATCCATGCCAGGGCACACAGAGTATTCAGGCCCAAACGTTAAGTTGCACTGCTGAGAGGCATCATAGGTCTGTCCTGGGAGTTCCTCAGGACCAAGAATCTGCTTCCGTGGTAGGTCTAGCAAACAGTTACCTAAGAGAATAATCAAGAGTTAGCAGCAGCCTTGGTTTAGGTTTCAAACTGCTATTATCAGGGACCTCGAAATGTAAATTTCCAGGAGGAATGAAAACATGATGAACCTACAAGTCTGTAGAGTGGTCCCCTTGGGGATGCAGTGGGCAGGGCTCCTAACTTACTGGATTCTAGAATTCTCTTAGAGCAGGGCACTCTTGGACTGTCTGTAATGGTGGATGTCAGGCTGCCAGTGCTACTGTTCTGTATGACTATTTTGTAATAGTTGTAATACATCACTGAGGGAATGAGGATGGGCCTGGAGGAACTCTTATGGGGAGCTGTATAGTAACTGTCATTTACAGCTTTGAGCAATAGCTCATTGATGACACCCCACTCACCGGTGATAACTCACCTCTTCCTCATGTGACCAGAGCCTGTCTCCTAGTCACTAAGACTTAATGATATCCACGGTCATTATTTGTTCTTGCACTCATTGAATAAATACTTACTGAATGCCTAGAATGCTCCAGTCACATACATGTCGTCAAGAATAAAAAAAAAAAAAATGGAGTGTATCCTGTTCTTCTCTGTAATATCCCACTAAACTGAAAGACAGACTAAGTATTTTTCACAAGTTGGTAACTTTGAAATAAAAGTCTTTCAAGATCTCTAGAATAAAGTAGTGATAAAAAGCAAGACTCTTTGGTAACTTGGACCAGAGACGTTCTAATGTATTATTTACCTTTGTATTTCTATTAAACCAATTGATAGTGGACTTGTTGGGTATTTAGAATGGCAGCCAAAAGCAGCTGGAATCTTACTGTGGGATGCTATAGAGAATTCACAAAAGTTGGAACTTCTCCTTTTCACTCAAAATGTTTACTTAAGAAGCCAGGCACTGTGAGCTGAAATCATTTTCTTTGCTGTATACTCTCTCACAGAAGCCCACTGGCTTCGGTGCTTTTAATTATTTTTTTTTACTTGATTATACAATTATTCCACTTTATAATAGCAATAATAACTAATACTTGTTACACATTCAGAGACCTTTACAATATATTACATATGTTTAATTCACATGAAAATCCCAGGAGGTTGACTTCTTTTTATTCATATTAAAGAAAAGCCAAGAAATATAAATTTTCAGTGTCTTAACTAATGTTACATTGTTATTTGGGCTTTGTGTTCTGGGGCTGCCACCATCCTGGCATACCATATTGCCTCTGTCAGACCTATAGAAAGATGTTTTTGGTTCTCAGGGGCTGACACATGTGCAGATCCTTAAATGACAGATACAGTGCTTAAGGCAAGAACCAGCTGGCCTAAGATCTAATCTAATGAAATACCACATGCTTGTATACTCTTAGCTGAGTTAGTTAACCTCTCCCTAATTCATTTATGGGATCTGCGAGATGCTTATTCTTTTCCCTATGTATTGTAAAGATAGAATTGGCTTTGAAAAATTTAAAGACAGGACAGAAATAGATGAAAGAATGGTAGTTACTTCTATGTTCAACTGAGCTGAACAACCATTTAGGTATACCTTTTGTCAACAAAAATTCTTCCACATTTAAATCCTTACATTGAGAAAATAACTATTCAGCATGTTAGGAGTATACTGCAAACATTTTTACAACTGTATAATCAAGTTGCTACAAAGAGAACACACACACCTATCTGTCCATCTGTGATAGAGGCATTATATGAAAATGAATAAATAGCAAATTTCCATTTAACTGAGCCAGAGCGTTTGAAGAGGTAAAGCTTCTTAAGGCCAGCCAGAAAAAGCATTAAAAATGAGAATCTCGCCAAAGAGAACTTAGGGAGAAAAACACCAAGTTAAAAGAAGAACATTAACATCAAGTCAATAGGAAAGAATGATAGTAAAATCTCACTAAGCATTCTTTATGGGACAGAGGAAGAGCAGGCACTTTGGAACTCTTGGAAAAAAATGTTATCTTCGTTGCTTCATGAACCAGCTGCTGTGGAAACCAGAGCAGCCTTAGCAGATTGATGATGTTAGTAAGTTGTCAACAAATCCCTTTAGCAACAAATTTCAGAGTCAGGGAGAATGCTTTCCAGGTCATCAAAACTGCTGTTACAATGTTTTGTTTTGTTTTGTTTTGTTTTCCTTTGCTTTGCTTTCCTTAAAAAGTATAGACCATAGACTTCCTAACAAGGTATTATCTGGGAAGACTCCCACTGATACCCATCCTACTTTACAGGAGGCAAGGATTGCCAAGGAATGTAAAATGCAGGCAGTTTGGAACCAGTCTCTGATAAGGATACGTCAAGATGAAGTGCATCTTTACAAAACTTAACTCAGTACAATTAAAATAACATTTTCTATAGAAGTCACATGGAAGTGAAATTTTTTGTTGAAACTAAAACATTTTTTCCTTGAGTAATTGACATTAACTTACTGATATTTTTTATAAAGATTTGTCTCTGCACTCATTTCTGCCTATTATGTAGAATGTGCTTTAGTGACTTTGTTTTTATATGTAATGGTTTCCTTTTGGAACAAAATAGTACAGATATCTCCACCACATGGAAACCTTATGCTGGGAAATGACAAAAATCATTGCAATGCCTGGCTTTGAAATTGACAGTACATAGTATTTAAAAATGATGTAATAATGGATTAACCGATCTATGTCTTCCACTTTGAAAAGCGCATATGGTTTGGAGGAAGACTGAAACTAGAAAATGACTACTCCTTCAGCATTTAAATTTCTTTGCCTTTATTGGAATCCAACCAACTGTTGACGTTTTCTTTATCTGATCTATTCCTTCTTTTAGTTATTTCATATTTAAAACATTTCTACTAGCTGGAAATTCTACCTGGTCTTTGTTCTATTCTAGACTGCCACATGGGGCCTTCTTCCCTTCCTCCCTCTGTCCCCCTTTCCCCTTCCTTTCTTCTTCCTTTGTCACATTTGGTGCACATAAGATGGATAACTTACAAGTGAAAGTCGGTAGACACGTATACACATGATATACCTGTTTTTCCATGCATACAAGGTTAAAACTCTGAAATAAGGCCAACAACTAAAACCCCAAAAGAGTCATTTGGAATGGGTGAATGGAAGACTATGGTTGTTTTTCATAAGTCTCTGCAGCCCACCAATAAATGATGGAAGTTACAGCTTGCCTCCAGGAAACAAAACTTAAAAAGCTCAGGTTTCTCAGGCTGTTCTTTTTCTTAATGATAAGTAGGGATTATAGGACTATTTTTTTTAATGATTTTATCTGATTCTATTTTTAGCACCATACATAATTCTTTCTTTCTTTTTTTCTCTTTCAGCACTCAGGAATAAGATTGATCATCGACCCAAATGTCAATAGCTTGGAAAAACCTAATGAATAATCCAGAAGAAGCATCTTTACCTTATAAAACATTTTGCTGTTCCCATTTTGTTTCTAGCTTCATATTTATGGCTTTCTTTGGGGCTCTTGGATGCATGTCTATCATTAATAGTGAGATGTACGCTTTCCCATTCTTTGAGAAGCTGTTTTGGGTCTAGTGATAAAGGAACAAGAACATTGCCAAAGGAATAGAAGATGCTGACAGAAGATGCTGATTAAAGTCCTTCTAGGAGTGTGCAGCCTGAGGGAGCATTATATACTCATCATCATATAAAACAGTAAGGGAGTGAGGTTAAGCTTTAAATCATAGCTCATCATGGCCTTAGAGTATGTGTTATTTGCTCATATTTTCAAAAATCATACTTATAATGGAAAAATCAAGATATGACTATAAAAGACTTCAATTTCTTAATATTACCTTAAAATCTGGCTTTATGTCTGCACCTACCATTGGAAATCATCAAAGAACCCAGATATATAGCTTCTGCTAGTATTTTCAGTCCAAAGTTCTGTGCCTGATGAGTAGCTCTACCCTTGTTTCTTTAAATAAGCAGTAAGATAATTTCGATATGTTTCCCTTATCAGCTCAGGTTGCTGGTGTTCTTGAGTTGTACCTACTTAGTCCTTCTCATCATCTGGTAGAGGACTTCCAGATACAGCAAATAAAGCTATCTTCCTGGGCCTCACTGAAGGTTAAGGAAACCTTTGGTAAAGGAAATTCAATAACCTGCCTCCTTTGCACAATTTCTCTGCCTATGCTTACCCTGATTTCGGAGGCTTGCCTTCCCAGTCAGCTAACTTGTACAAACACTGCAACATTTCTGCAAAGCCCTTGGCCAGGGGTGGGAGAGTCCCAAGAGGCACGAGTATTCCTGTTCTGAATCACAAGTCTCCAGATACAGTTACTTAAGAGTGTGCACTTTGGCTTCCCAGTCATATCCGAACCACTGCACATTTCTTCTTGGACCTAAATCAGGAAACACTCAGTACTAATGAATTCAAACCTGGCAGTAGTGGAGTGCTACAAATGTCCAGCTACTTATGGCTAATAATTTAAAAAATAAATCAAATGCTTTGAGTTTAATTCGACTATAACTTCTCTTTGCTTTAACACTGCTGGAGGTGCAAGTAGGAAGGAGGTGATGTCACACCAAATGTGTTTTCAGCTCATGTGCTCTTTAGGCATCATTGAAACACTAGACACGTTTTGTTACAATACTTACTTGAATTGAACATGGCACGCTTTCCTGCTTTTATCTGAGTGTCTCAATATATCTTTGCTAAGTAAATTTCCTGAAAGCCCCTCTTCTCTATATATAAATCATTGTATCTGGCCAGTGTCTACACAGGTAGATATCACATTGTTGATATTTAGGAAAATGGTACCAAGTTACTATACAATTTTATTTGTTTGTTTGTATGTTTTGTTGTTGTTTCAGTTTTGGTTTGGGTTTTGGTTTTAGGTGGGCAGTTTCCTGATTTTGTTACTTCCTTATTGTCAGATCAACTCAGGTGTTGCAAGTGGTCACATGTTTGGCTTCATATAAAAAAAGTTTATAAAAAAAACTGTTAAACTATGATGTGATGAAATCTGTTAGTTTTGAACGAATGTGTGACTGTGTGCTTGTTTTTATATCATGGTAGGCTTGGGTTTTTTTCTTGATTCTCTATGCCTATAGTTCAAATGTTAGCACCCCAATCATCAAAAAGAAAAAAAAAAGGGACTTGCCAGTTCCTGCTACCATACTGTCACTAAACTGTCTTGTAGATGTTTTTAAATAAAAATTACCAGGCTATTAATTTTTTGAACTCTCATTTAAATAACAAAGCTAGAGTGCCAGGTCTGGATATTTCTGCGTGATCTCTTGACAGGATCCACGGCAAGCTTGGCTCCTGCTGTACACCACCTTTTCCTATGCTGAAGCTACCTTCATCATTTGATGTGATTGGAACCATACTATTTTTCTTTCTCAGTTAAAATGAAAGGCCACCTAACAGAAGTCAACATATTCAAAAGTGCAAGTATCTAGATTTGATTATATAAGAAAATATATATTTTTCTTGTTCAAAGAATTCTGGCAATTCTTTTGCTCATTTAATCAACCTCTGGGAGACTCTGACAATCTTTATTAGTGAAAATGAATATATCTGTTTCTACTATGACTGTGTTCTTAGATGTTCTCAGAAGCACCTTTGAACAGAAACTGATGCAAAAGTTGGGAAGTATGATGAAAACTAAAAGCTAATCAGAGTACAAGCCTTTTAAAATATAGAAATACTGTTAAAAGCTGAAATAATGCTGGAATCATAGTAGTTGTCCTGAAACTAAGATCTTGTTCCACAAACATGAAATAAAGGCACCATTCTCAAATAACAGTCAAAGGAACACAACTCCACACAGCAGTGCAGCTGAGCTAATGCGTACACAGGGTGAAAAGCTGACCTACTTTTGCCATACGAATTTGCTGCCTTAGCAACTTGATCCATTCACTTAGAGATTCAGGGTTGAACTAAGCCTTTTGGAATGTGCAATATATAATTTTAAAATAAAATATTCATGCTATTCCTTAAAAACTAAAACAGTAACGGTACACTCAGGAGTAGGTAGTTAAGATGCTACTAGAGAGAGACACTCTATGTGTTCAGCATTGAGACAAGGATGACTAGGAGATCTTTTACTTCAGGATGTGGCTATAACCAAACTAAAGAGAACTGTCATTTTCACTTAGTTGAAGGGAAAGGCCTATGCATGTTAGTAGTGTTTCTAAGTATTTTAGGTATGGGAGTGTCTTTTCTCCTATATTTTTATTGATAAAATATTTACGTATCTAATTGTTTGCTTATCTATCTGTCTATCTATCTATCTATCTATCTATCTATCTATCTATCCATCCATCTATCCATCCATTTTTGAGGCATAGCTTTGCTCTGCATCCAAGGCTGTTGTGGACTTCACAATCTTGGCTTCAGCCTGCAGAATGCTGGGTGTACAAGTTTTATTACCATGCTGCTGATATTGGGAAAACTTCCAAAGAAGGCTCAACTAGATTGCTTTTAGGATTATAAAATGCAAATTCTAGTATCCACAAGGGCTTTACCAATTTACAGTAATTTAGGGAATCATGAAGTAACGAATACATCTTGGCTACATAGTATAAAAATCCACGTTGTAGCAAACATCCCCGTGTTTTAAATTAATTTAATTTGTTGATTGCTTTGGCACTGTTTAGTTGAAGTCCAAAATGCCTAACACATTAAGAAATTAGGTGTTTATAGACCAAAACTTTTCAAAACTCAGGGTAAAGATGGTTATCACTGATTGCCTTGACTCTACTTTGAGCAATGACTCATTACATTATTTTATGGAAAGTATTATCTACAAAATCCAAAACTTAGCCACCTATTTTAGAAAAAGATCCATTTTAAAAGAGCAGAAAGAAGACAGAACAGCTTCTTTTCTGAGAGATGAGAAAGTAGAAGTATATGCTTTCAAGGATTCTATCCAACTGTGAATGTCCAGCTTGCCGTATTTCTGTGATGTTAAAACAGTAAAGGGCGAGAGGAAATTTGCAACAGCTTGTTTCGAAGACTACTTAGGGAGTAGGATTTATTATTTCTAGAAATTGTGACTTCCTCTGTATTTTCTTATAACTTACAGCACTAATCCTACTCTTATGGAGTTTAATAAAGTATGCTATGCTCTTGAACTGTCTGAAAAGGATAAAGCCAGCAATTTTCCTTTGAAGTTCTTGAAGTCTTTTCCCACCATGGGTTGGGCTATTTTTGTTCTGTAGTTTTTATTCCATTTCCAGGAGAATCTGCTGTCTGGATGAAATTAGATTTTTCTAGTCAATGAATATCTAGAGAGCTGCAAAGGGTATCCAGTAGAATTACATCCTATACCTTAACCAAAACTTTACATAGATAAGCAACAAGTAATTCTGAGAGTCTTATTAGTATCATGCAAACCAAAATGTCTGCCAATGTTCTCACAGGAACTTAGTGGTGTAAGAGGAAATAAAAGCCAGACTCTCAGGGCTCTCATTGCTAAACATTCTGTGTGGTCTCCCACCCTCTTTCCCTTTTGAACTTCTTATGTCAACAGCAAAAATACCATAACTGTAATGCCACCAAGAATGCTGGCATTGTATGCCAAGAGCGAATCAATTTGCTTGCTTCTTTTCTGACACTCTCCCAATAACCATTGTCTCACAGGGTAAGCTGAGCATCATGAGGTCATCATGTGTAAAGCTCCTGAGAATCTGAACTTGTTTTTCTGATCCTATGTTGTCTAGAAAGCTACATACCATGACCATCATCCAGGAACTCTGTGATGGTAGCTGAGGTGCATTTAGACCAGGGCTTGGATGCATCAATGCTGGTAAGGATTGAAGACATTAAACGCTTGTCTTCTGTGGAACCAAAGTTCTCTTCACAGAATTTGGAATCATCATGAGAGAGGCCAAGTAGATGTCCTAGAGGAGAAAAGAGAGAGTGCAAATGACAGAAAGAAGAAGAGGATTTCCAATTACAGAATATTCTCAGTTTCTACTTCCACCTAAAAAGTTCTCTAGCACTTTTTTGCACCTAATCAAAGGTGAACTTAACAGTCTAATGTATCCAGACTGATCCCCTTGCCTATGAAAGCTCTATGCTGCTATGAAATAGCTGCTTTGGGTGAACATTTGGATGAAAATTAGAAAAATAAATGAAGAAATCGATAATGCTAGAGTCCATGTGGTTCACATATGCTCACTGGCATGTAAAACCTTATTTAGAATCATGAATTTGAGAGGCTTCTGTGGGATTATGTCATAGTCTCACCACAAATTATTTTTATTGTTAGGATACAAACCCCAGCAGATCAAAGTGCATTTCTAGCATCTACTGCTAGAACCTTTGTATCTGACTCAATAGTGTGTAAAATGCAAACAGTAGATGCTTTTTGAAAGTCAGTGACTTCTGTTTTCTTTTTCAAGTATATAAGTAGTTCTTGGACATGACCCGAAAAACAAAAACAAATAGAAGTAACATGTAGTGGATTTCTTGCTGCATAAAATATCAGTCCTTTTCATGTTTCTGTTTATTATATTTAGTGAAACATATAACTACTAGTCTCATAAAAACATATTTTGAAAATATGCTCATTTCTACTGTATTGTGGATAAAAAAATCAACATAATTGTTAAGAAGTACTATAGATAAGTGAAGTCCTGGATTCCATGAAGATGAGTAATGAACGGTTCTAAGTCACATGTCCAGAATGTGTGTGCACATAACCCTCCCATACTTGCTGCTAGACCATTTCCACCTCATCTGTTCAGATATCAATTCTCAGAGTGTCAGTATCCTCAGATCCTTATAATCTGAGTAAATTTTGTTATGATATATCAATTTTTCCATACTCTAAGAGTACATTGATTTTCTTCTATAAATCTAAAAGCTTAAAAACTTCAAGTAGCCAGTTATTTCACCAAAGTTTTCAGAGTCATATAACACCACCAATATCTTGTATAAGACAACAGAACAGACTGCTCACTTTTCCCCGAGATTCTCTATACAGAAAATGCAGGAATGTTGACCATGTGATCAGGATTCCAGTCAGTGCAGAGCGGCACAGCCCAACAGAGATGAAATCTTTCACACCACATTCCAGCTACTTTGGGCCAACTTGTTAAATCACTGACACCTCATAACAAAACTATTCACTGCACAGCTGACTGCTCTTGTGCTTGAAATGAAGCGAGTACGATTCGGTGGCCTTCCAATTCTCCATTTGTACTATTTATTTGGTTGTTGACTTCAACAGCATTTATAGAATTGTGTGGGCAAGTAAGATTTCTCTGAAAAGCCTCTCCATTGCAATTCATGACAGGATTGATCAGTAGCATGAATATCCATCACAGTTTGTGAGATGGGTCCCCAATGACATGAGAAGCAAGATTGGCAAGGGCCTCTCTAATTTTTGAGTGGTATGTAAAATTTTTTTAAAGAGTGTCACAGTGCAGAGAAAACATATTTATTAAGATTACTCAAGATTACTTAATCTATCCAGCACTTACTGAGAATTTACCATCCAGTCCCTAGACTTCACCAAGGTAGAAGCTTTAATGGCCAGCACAGTGGAGCATGCCTGGAGGCTTCATACTGTGGTTTTGAATTATGTCATTAGAAGAAAAAGAGGGAAGAGTGTCCAATGAGATCTCTGTAACAGGATATTTAGTCAACTCCATGTTTTAAATGCAACAATATGTGCTTTTTGTACTATACTTTCTGAGATATTCACCCATGTTTAATGGAGCCAGAATCTTTTCCTTCCAAACTGATATAAATAGCACTTTCCAAAGGCATTTTTATTATTGCCTCAAGGGATTTTCACTTCATTGAGAGAGCATAGTTTTAATTTATGGTTTAAAATATAGCTTGTATGGCAAACATCAAATTCACTTTGAGGGTCTGAACAAAGTGTCCTGCTTTTGTTTCTGTCACATGCAGTGGTAACACCTATAAACTTAAAATTTTAAATTATGACAACTAGGCGGCTTATTTTTTTGGCACAATTTGATAAATCATTTAGTATATTATTTCATATCACACTGTGATTTTTAAGATCCCTAAATTTAGCTATAAAACTTAATTGCTACCAAAGACAAATATAATCAAGTTCAATCAGAAAAGGCTGATAATCTGCACATGAGCAAATCTCAGCTCCTGCTCTGTTACAGCTTAAAGGAAATGTGTATTTTGTAAGACTCCTCAAATCATAAGAAACACTGCTCGAAGACTATCTTTTAAAGGCAAATGTTCCATCCTACCTGGAGAAAATCAGTTAGCTGCCTGGATGGGGAAAACAAGTTCTCTCACAGGTGGCAAAAGTCATGGTTCTAGAAGAACATACAAGTACATCACGAACTGTGGACCAGTTGCAGAGTAGATAGAACCATGTGAGTCTCATGTGAGACCCATGTGACTTTCCCTCCAGAGATAGGCAGAGCTTGAAAAGGAAGATCAATGTGAGAAGTGTCAGATGTTCTTCAGGGATGAAGTGACACACACACACACACACACTGAAGGTCACGAACAGCAAACACTTAAAGCCTGTGTCACCAATCAGCTATGTTAAGATGTTTAATGCCAGTTTAAAATTTGTCAGCACTACTGAGAACTGGAATGATAAGTTCCATATAGATGTACAAGGCACATGGCAGATGACGGAGCACGGCATTGCATATACAGAGTCTAGGAAATTTTAAACTTAAATATCACAAATGACAATCCTGGATTTCAAAGAGCTGTGAAGGGGACACAAAACGCATGCAGATCTGGTTGACAAGGATAGATTTTAATTCTTCAGACAACCGCTTCTTCAGAGGAAGTTAGCTTGGAAATCACTAAAAAGATGTTTACAATGACCATCGGATGGCATTTGGATATTCACCCAAGAAGAATCTGCTGAAGGGACATGGTCAGTGTTCACAGGACTGACAGTAGGTGTTCTTGTCACAGTGTTTTCTGGGGAGCTTTTGAAGCAACAAGACAGTGAACTTAGTAGAGGAATGAGGTGTTAGAAGTCAAAGGGCATTCGATCTCCAGTCCCCGTGGAGAGAGGCCATCGTTTCTCCTGCAGCTGTGAAGATTTTCTCCTTGGAGTCAGACTATTGGAATGGAAAAATGGGGTGGATTCAAGGCAATCTGAGGGGAAAAAGTAATTTTGAGAGAGCTCCCTTATTCAAATAGGGTACCCAAACTAATGCACAAGAGCTGGAGACAGACTAAGAGGTGGCCATTCACTCTTAAAGGTCACATTAAAAACCCAAATCTTGCATAAGGGAAGCATTTGCCTTTGTATTTAATCAGTAGAGTACAAAGATGAAAAAGAAAACTGTCAATAGCCTTCTTTATAAGTCTGCAACCGTGTCAAATTGTTAAATGATTTTTCACATTTGATATTCCAAATACAGATTTAATGATGAGCTCACCTTCTTGTCCAGTAAATCTGGAATTAGAAAAATGTGCACCCAGGAAAAGACTATGTTTTTAAAGATGAGTTTTATTTATCCTAGGCTGCTATTACTCTTGATTCATAGCTAAGGGTGACCTTGAACTTCCGATATTCCTGCCACTTGAATGCTGGTTCAGAAATGTGTCTCTCACTCTTGCTTTATTCAGCACTGGTGATGGAACTCAGGACATCATGCATGCAAGAAAAGCTACCCCAGCACTGCCACACCCTCAGCCAAGACACATTTTCTACAGCGGAACCAACCTCTGGGTTAGCTCCTCCTTCTACTCAGGTATTACAGGGCAGCATTAGCCTCAGGAAGGAAATTGAATGTTTTGCTAAACATTGGTCTGCAAATTAAACAGAATTTCGAGTTCTTGTCTCCTGATCCCAAACTATCCAATGGTCAAGGGGACACAGCACCACATTCTACAAAAATGTCCCAAGAAACACTGTAATGTGTTTACTCGGGAAAGTGCAGCCCAGAAGAGGCATCTGTTTCTCAATGAGGTCATGGTTTTCATTTACCTAATTTTCCAGCTGGGATTATGAAGGTGCAAGAAGGTCTGGCCAGGGGTTGAAAAGTGAGTCAACAGTTCAGAGGGGATCAGAATCTAGATCCACCGAAGAGAAGACTCATGACCTCCAATAATTGGGTGGGACACACTCTTCTTAACACTAACCTTTATGTAGAGGTGATAACATGTGGAAATGTTTCTTTCAGAAACATTAAGGAAAAATGTTTAATGTGATATTGAGTATGTAATTTAAAAACAGAAAAAAAAACCTCTTTCTTATTATGATGGCCTATCCTTTTAGATCAATTTCATACCAAGTAGTCTATAAAATCCCACTATATAGTACTACTAAAGTCTTGGGCTCTGGAATCAGATAGGTTGCATTGGAATGTGATCCTTGGGATAATTAAGTTAGTTATGGATCATAGACAAATCTTGAAATGTTTTTGTAGGTTAGCTTACTCTTTTGGGGGTTCCCCATGATAGTATTTACTTCATGGTGCGCCCAAGTGCATGTTTGTGTGTTGTATGTACACACGTATATGCAAGTGTATGTGTGCTTGGGTGCATATAGGCACTTGCCTGTGAAGAATTGGAGGAGAATCTCAGCTGTTGTCCCTTCTGCACAAGCTACAGTCTACAATCTTATTATTTTCATATTTGAACTGTGACTGGCCTGGAATAGTCTAAGTGCACTAGGTTAATTGGCTACTAAGTGCCAGGGATAACTGGTTCATATGCACTGATTGCAAGTGTGGAAAACTATGTCTGGTTTTGGATTTGTATTTTGTTCTAATGTGGATTATGGGGACTGAACTCATGTCTTTTTGTTTGCAAGTAAGCCCTTTACCAACAAATTCTCTCTAGCTGTTAGCATTTGTAATACATTTTAGTATCACTGAATACCTAGAATTAAGAAAGAATGAACAGTTTTCTAATTTGAAAAGGGAAACAAACCACCTATTACAACTTCAATCTTCTTTTTAATGTCATTCCAACTAGCTGGTGTCAACCTGTGTGGCAAAAAAATCAATAGATCTACCCTAGAGAAACATGGATTGGGATTAAATTTAGTTTTAAAGTCATAATAAACACTAAATCTCACAGTGCTATGGGACATGTAACCCATACCTATGACTGCCTTTCATCCCCGGTCCAAGAAAGACATGGGCGGTACTGGTTCAAGTTTGACAGGAAATATGCCTAGTTTGCGTTGATTAAAATGACAGATCTGAAGATAAATAACAAGCTGGATCCCAGTTCCCTTCTCATTTTATATCTTACTTGCCTTGCCAGTAAGAACATCCGAATCCATGGACTTGCCTTTGGTCTACCAAGTTTTCTTTTTTGGCGGGAGGGGCACTTCTGCAGTTTTTCCAAACACAGGCTTGTTTAATCTAATCATCTATGGGGCAGAGTCACATACTGATCTCCACAACCAGACAGGCCTCTAACCACAGCAAAGCACAGGCAGCCCCCTGCTGTGTCTCAACCACTTCCTAAGTCTGACTGAGGAATCGGTCCCACTCTTTAAAGTTGCCTGGCTTTAACGTAGGAAACACATTGCAGTCTTTCTTGGTGGAGAAATTCACTTAGCACATTTTATAATTAAATACTATAACACAAACCTTTTGAGTGCTGGGAAATTATGGATTTCATTAATCTGAATAAAATCCTATTGTTCCCCTTGGTATATTAGAAGCTGGCTCAACATCAATAAAATGGTTGCTTTTAATGAGCATGTGTGCAGCAGGTGAAATATTTATTATTACAAGTCTATAATAAAAGTTTGACAAGTTAAAAAAATATAAACTTAGAATGTAAACTTACATCAACTTGAAAACTTTCTGCTGTTCTCCTTTGGGGTTGTAAAATAGCTGTAAACACATTCCTGCCTCCACCCAAAGCACATGGATGGTTTGAAGCAACACTTTAAAATGTTCTAGCAATTGAGTCAGTGTTCACTGTGCATAGTCTAGAAAGCAGAAGGCAATTTATAACTGCCTATGAGTCTAGTACATATTGATGCACATTGCTCTTGCAGGAGCTTGTAGTAACATCACGTGACCATCTACCTTCAGCATCTCACACTTCAATTGCCATTTGATTTTGAGTTAGAATGGGTTATCAGGATGACAGAAGAATTCGAGTTAATACACGGGACGCACAAGAGGAACTGTTCAAAACTGGTAATCTAATCCATGCCACTCCATAACCCACAATAGAACTTCATAGAACTTCTATCCTCTCTCTCTCTCTCTCCTCCTCACCCTCTCTCTCTTTCTCTCTCCCTCTTCCCCTTACCCTCTCTCTCTCCCTCCCTCCTTCCCTCTCTCTCTTTCTTGCTCCACCCCTCCTTCCCTTCTATTTTTTTTCCCTCTCACTCTCTCTCCCTCATAATCCCCCTCCCTTCTTCTCTCCCTCTTCTTTCTTTTTTGTTCATTCTTTCTTCCTTCCTTTCTCCCTTCCTTCCTTCCTTCCTCCCTCCCTCCCTCCCTCCCTCTCCCTCTCCCTCTCTCTTTCTCTCTTTCTTTCTTTCTTTCTTTCTTTCTTTCTTTCTTTCTTTCTTTCTTTCTCTTTCTTTCTTCCTTTCTTCCTTTCTTCCTTTCTTTCTTTCTTTCTTTCTTTCTTTCTTTCTTTCTTTCTTTCTTTCTTTCTTTCTTTTGTCCTTCCTCTCCCCCCTTCCCCCCTTTCTTTCTTACAGACAGAGTCTCACTATGTAGCACAGGCTAGCTTTGATCTTTCTGTACCAGCCTATCCAGTCCTGGCAGTTTTGGTGTACCATCATCCCTGTCTTTGCTTTAGTTTATCACATGCGCTAATTTTCAACATAAGAGTTTTTTTTCAACTGGACAATAAGGGCATGAGGGAGGATGCTTTGTTTTCTTTGGGCATAATATAAACTTTACGCTGTATTTGAAACCAATATATGTAGCAAAAGGAAGCTTTTGATAGTGCATGAAATATTAACAGAAGCCATCTTTAATCAAACATACTCATTTACATCTTATAAAAATAAAGAAAAATAGGCAATCTATGACCAAATCTTGGATAATTCCTCCCAGATTGTGTTTTGAGTGCAGCAACAACTTGACAGTATTTGTTTGGAATAAATGAAATTGCACATTTTTGAATAAGACTCAACCAGATTCTAAATACTCGAAAGCCAAAGTTTCAGAATATTCTTTTTTTATAACTATATAGATTATACATATAATTTACAAATCTAAAAATGTAGCAAAAATATAATAAAAGAAAAAGAAAGAAATCCAATAAGAATGAGATAGAATTATAATCCAACTCATGGTTGGCTTAGATTGAGCTGACAGTTTATGTAACACGTAAAAAATACAAACTTTGAATAATCCAGTGAGTTAAGGTCGAGACGCTTGAGAGACAAGACTCTCATCATGAGACTGTTCATCCAGAGAAAATCTTAGGTATGATTATATTTGCTAAAAATTTAGAGCTCACATTTTATATCATATAGTCATAATATTTAGGCAAAATTAATATAAAATAAGAAAGCACTCAAAGTGAAGTTAGTAAAAATTTTTTATGAAAAAGGAAACAAATCCATATTCTTTTATCTTTGGCCTTTAAGTATCTCTTTAGGCCATTTGCAATACAGAGAAGAAAATTAAGCACACAATATCTGACTGGAAAATAAATCATAGAAGCTTATAATGAAGTAAAGAGAGATAACTTAATCAAGAAACTCAAGGAGACACCAGGACGTAATCATATGCAGAGGCACCGGTTTGACTCTGGATATAAGAGCTTACTATTCTCCCATGTTGTTCTTCTGTCTAATTATGTCTAATTGCCTTGTCTTACATATCATTGTCTGGCTCTATATTTCTCACTGTCTCATCAGCCTGTGCAATGCAACATGGAGTTCTTGTTGAAAATGGAGGAGGATTAGGAAAGTCATCTTGCTAGACTTAAACACTCTGATCCAAGTGGTGAGACATGAAAGTCAAGCTATGAAGAGTCTGTGTACAGAGCTCAGTTTTTCTCTTGTAGGAAAACCTGCCAATGCTGTCACTGTATGTAAAGATCACCGTAGGAGAAGATATCAGGAGGAAGCAGTAGTCAGAATGTGTATTTACAGCAGATGTTATGTTGTCTACTCTATAGAGACAGCACAGATGATCAAAGTGTCTAGGTGGCCTGGGTAAAATTCCACAGGGAACTGACAGGGACTCAGCACCTTGGCTTAAGTCAAAGATGCTCAAACTGTTCCAGATTGAATTAGCATCAATGATGCTGTTGAATGGTTACTTACACAATGTTTTTTTGTTTGATTCAAAGACAAGTGTCAGTATAATAATGTCCTGATGAATACTTGAAATATAATAGGTGAAATGCAGCTACCTAATTCTATTCATTACTATCATATTTAGATTTACAAAATTGTCCCTTTCACCAGAAGTTATTCTGCTCCTTAAAGAAATTGACACCGTGTGAAAATATACATTACTAGAAATGTGAGGTAGACATTTTAATTTATACTTAATAGTTAAAGTTGTAGCTTTAACAAGTTAAATCTTTTAAATAAAAATATAAAAAAATCTAAATGTAATAATGATTGAATGGTCTTGTGTCAGAAATCAAGATGAAAAGAGGTTATGCATAAATTAAGACAATGAATGAGATATTTAAATAGGAAAATATGTGGGTGTTAATATAAGTGATCTCTACTATGTACACTCCACTCAGTCTGGCTTCAAAAACAACTCCATGTAAAAGATAGTGTTATCCCTATAGTTCTGAAAAGAAGATAGGGTCTCACAATGCTTCCTAATAGAATGATTTCACAAGGGGAAATGATTCCAGTAAGATGTGTTGTGTCCTAAGTACTAAATCCGTTTCCCATTGATCAGTCTTCTAGGTCAGTGATTAGGAGGACCCTTTTCTTTATCCAAGAGACACAGTTTAACTGTTTACCTCTGCCCCCAACTCATAGTTGTATGATTTAGGGGTCTCTGGTTAATTCAATATGTGACATTATAAAGTAAACTCTATGGAGAGTCAGCTTGATTCCATCTGCCTCACTACTGGGAAGGAGGCTGGGCTATTTACCAGGAGCTACTGATTCTCTGTGACAGGAACCTACTATTATCACTCACGATGGGGCAAAACATGTTAAATTCCTGTGCAAACTGATTATCCCCGGATGAGTCAACACTGTCATGAAGAACTTCCAAAGGGGACGCCTCTGCATCCCATAGGCGACTGTGACAAATTCTGTCTAGAAGCCATTTAGGGATGCTTAAAAAGAGAGAAAAAAGAGACAGTAGCAAATTTCCCCTTAACTTTTAAATAATGCCACCAAAAAGGAAACATTTACTTCGATGCTGACTTTGCCTTCCTTTTCCTTCGTCAGTTAACCCTGTGAGTTCAAATATAAACAAATGCAATCCCCAGTGGTACATCTGAACCAGAAGAAATCTGGAATTAATTGCCAAGTATTTTGGGTACTGTTGCAGCTGTTTCAAGTGTTTGATTTGGCAAGGGAAGAGAAAAGGCGTTGCATACCAATTTCATGAGCCACAGTGAAGGCTGCGTGGAGGCCATCATCTTCAATCACAGCACAGCTGCGCTCCGGAGAACATATGGTCCCAACGTCTGCCATTCCCAGGGTGTCACATGAATGATGCCCACATAAATCCTGCCCGGGAGAAAGAAAGAAATCATTAAAATCAATTTACATCCAGAGGGAGCCACCATGGACAACCACTTGCTCACCCCAAATGGCAAGACTGAGATATGTTTATGGTGTCACCTGCTCAGTGCTGGAAGCCTTCCAAAGACAAATTCAAAGCAGGAACTCTTCTGAGCTACTTTGTAACCCAGAAGCACAGAAGGATAAAGACATTCAATGACATTTTCAAAGAAGCCACAATTACAGCCCGTTCATTACAATCTAAGCTCTACAGCCTGAATAAAGCCAACGTGTCTACACAAATGTCAAGGGTTACATGTGCTCAATATAACAAACGCCTAATATTCTGAGCTACATTTGGGCTGAACTTCTTGGAAGAGAGGCCTAACAATTTGTTTTCTGTTAGAGTCAAACTACGATCATACTTTGTGATAGAACATACATTACTAAGACTTTTGCATTTATGCATATATTGTGTATATACATATATTCAGTCATTTATACAAGAAACAGACTACACTTGAATCTATGTGTAAAATTAGATAGAAAAATAAAAATTTTATATGTTTAATATTGCTTAAAAATCATTTTTGAACTTCCCGATTGAATTGTAGTTTCATACACCATGTCTTCAAAAATGTATGTAGGGTCACCCATAGCTTTTTAATCATTTCACATTTACTCATTGAGTTATAGAGGACGACTTGTGGAAGTCAGGTTTCCCCTCCCAGGATATCAGTCCTGGGAATTACACTCAGTTTGTCAAGACAACTGACACTTACTGGACAATTGTCTTTTACCCATTGGACAATTTTTCTCATAGCTTTTAGCGAAGTTCATCTCAAGATGATCACACATGAGAAAATATTTGTGATATAAGTATGTTTTATGGGTAGATATCAGTGTGTTCATTTTATTCTTGAGAAGTTCCAGAGCTCTTATGAGACTCTCAAAAGTAAAAATGATCACTTAAAGAATATAAACAGGACATTAAAGGAACGAAGCTTTAAAAAGGATAATGAAGTTACAATTTTGACTTGTTCAACTTGTGCTAATAACATCCTCTTCAAATGTTAATCTAGGTATCACTAAATATAAAAATTTCTTGTGCTTTCTTATGAATTTATGATTATAAAAGTCCAACAAAGGTGAGCAAGACTTAAAATCTATCCCCAATTTTCTTCTCTTTAGTGCTTTCAGGACCTTCTTGTGATGTTTATATTATGATTTCCAACTGTGAATCAAGGCTCCAGCTGTGAGCCTTGGTGAATCAAGACCTCATGCCAAAAATAACCTTTTCAAGCTTCCCTGGGTATCCTTCCATGTCCCATGAGATCCCAAACTACTACTGCTACAAACAAATTAGCAGCTTTAAAAAATGAATCTTGAGAAGACTTTTGCATAATAATTATTGTTTTTGATAATGATATAGTATAATACATTTTCATCCTCCCTTTCATCAATTTTAGCAATTTTAGGATGAGATCCCAGGTCATAGTTGAATCCTTATACACAGTAGGTTATCCAAGAATTGACTTCCACTCCTTGTGTCACTAATCAGCTTGGAGCCACTGCAAAAGGAAATGGGCTTCCTGTTCCCAGTGGCGTTGAAACCGGAATCTTACTATCTCTGTTTACTGCTAATCAATTGCTCATTAGCGGCCATCAACCCTCCTAGTTTTCTTTGAATTGCATTAAATGCATTTGGCCTTTTGCCATGAAAATTGTGCATGTGACTAAATTATGAAGAGAAGCACTTGTTATTTTTTAACTATACTGATTAAGCCCCTTGACTACATAGCCACATCATTATACTTCCACAGCCATCATTATAAACTGGCATATTTTCCATTTCTCTCACACAATTTCAAACCTTTTTAGTGTGGTTGTGGTTTCATGCTCAAGACATACAATGAACATGTTAACATAGTAAGCCAATGTTCTTCTTCAGGAATAAAAAAATAGATAACAAATTATTAATATATAACATATTGCATTTCTATATTATCTATTGGCCCTTCACCACAGTAAGTTAGTCTTCAAGTTTACAGGAATTTTAAAATTTAGAGAAGGGGTAGGAATAGTGCAGGGATGATCACATATTACTATATTATAGCACACATATACATAAACTAGCATCGGAGGTAGCAGACACTAAAGAAGGTAGCGCAATGTCTACGAAAGTGGTAAAAGAATTAAGAGTGCTACCAAATGGTTTTCTACTTGTTCCATGTCAGTTAGAAGGCAAGTTATATATATATATACATGAGTGTGTGTGAGTGTGTGTGTACGTGAAAGAGAGAGAGAGAGAGAGAGAGACAGAGAGAGACAGAGAGACAGAGAGAGACAGAGAGAGAGACAGAGAGAGACAGAGACAGAGACAGAGAGACAGAGAGACAGAGAGAGACAGAGAGAGGAAGAGAGAGAGACAGAGAGAGACAGAGACAGAGAGAGACACACACACACACACATACACTCAGACAGACAGACAGACAGAGAAACAGTGTGTGTGTGTGTGTGTGTGTGTGTGTGTGTGTGTGTGTGTGTGATTCTACACAAGTAGTAGTTACCTGTGTAGAATCAGTCCCTTGTTATCATTGGGTACTGAGTGATACAGTGGAAGACTAAGAAAAAAAAGTATCTGAAAAATGTGAGGAGAGTTAACTGTGGTCCCATGGTATAGTGTTAGCCAGGGTACAGAACAGAGACAGTGGATTTAATTCCAAGATAGATCTGAGGTAGTTTTCAGAACCAAAAACTTTCCACAAGGTGGCCACTAGCCCTGTTACTGTCACAGGGACTATATGTATATGAGAAAGTTATGACTTATCATGCCATTCAGAAGTATACCTTAGGCATATTTGTGGGAATTGAGAAGGGGCTGGAAGCCAGCAAAGCATACTGCCTAGAACATTGGTGCTTGGAAAGTGCCAGTGATCAGTACCAGATGGGAAAGGAGCCACACACCAAGTGGGTAGTGATACCCAAGCAAAGAATTGGAGAATTCCCAGTCTTCATTGAGAGACTGTTCTCAAATGCAGCAAAAATATGCTGAGATAAGGAACTGGAAAAAACATAAATTCTGATAAGGACAGATACTATTCCAAGGGTATCAGTAGCAGCCCCTCTGAGTAAAGAAGAACACTTCATATGGTATTAGTTCCTAATGAGGACAATTGTAGTGTGCAAGACAAGGGTGAAACACCACAGCATTTGGAATGCCCACTCTTCTTTCCACACAATCCCATAGGAAAGAGATTGATGATGGAGGAATTAATGCTAGGACATAGAGTTTAATCACAAGTATTATACACATGAATGCATACTCACAGCTATACGTACAGATTTGTCTTGTGGATTTTTAAACTCCCTGATTGGCATGTACTGACTGTATGTATTAACGAATTCTGTGTGACAACCTTACACATGTGTAGAAAAGGCAAATATCAACCAAATTTCCCTTATCTATCATCATGTCATAACGTGAATCTGATTCTTGATGCATCTTTTTCCTTTCTTGCTAATTACACAACAATCTCTAATAAAATTGTCTTGTTTATATTTAAACAGAGATTATATTAATTTGGAATGTTAAGCTAGTCATTACAGTGACCTGTATTACACAGCCTCTAAGCAGGCATCTATACAACAAGATGATTCTGAACATAACAGAGTCCAGTGGGATTACGGGTAAAGAACCCAAGTTTATTCATTTCTATAAAAAACAACTGTGTGCCTACAACCAACCAGTTCTCATGCAAATTACTGCCACTGCAGTGCGAGGATCTAATACTGGTTCTTAAGAAACATAATAACTTTTAGTGAATGAGAAAGACATAAGTTTGGAGATGAAGCACACTGTGGGGAGCAGCTTGTTGTGAATACAGAGAGGGGTGGGTGGACCTTCCTTCAAGGAATCACTAAAGGTTTTCCCAGGATTAGAAACACCCAAACTGGTATGATGTTCTTAGAGAAAAGGCATCCTAATGAGGCAGGCCTCAGAAATATGAGCTCTGAATCAGGAAGGACACGACATGGCATTTTCTGTGACTAGAGTGCTAAGAGTTTGGAGTGGACTAACAGGGCATCTGGACCAACAATCTGGACCCACAACTATAAGAACAGAAAGTGACTCTGATAAATTTTAGGTAAAAAGTGGGGACATGGGGGAATAAAAGACAGAACAAATTATGGAGTGAGAGGAACAGATACTTGGACCAGTCCTTCTTGAGGATGGGACCTATGCTACAAAAGCTGGTGAATGTAAGAGGGATTGTTTCTGAGATTTCAATTCTTGTTGTAAGACATGTTTTGAAAACAACAAACATTGAAACAAAGGCTCTTCCTCATTTAAATAAGGACACTGTCCAGATACACCTGTACTGGTATTGACATGAAGCTTTCTGATAGATAGATGTCTTCATATTAACTCTCCAGCTAATGTCAGAAATTAACTCTCAAAGTCTCAAGCTTCGGAACAAGGAAGCTAAATTTTAATGATAGATAAACTTTGCCTTCCAGTATTCCACAGCATGACATGGTTGAATCACGATCCAATTCTTGATGCCAATATTATCTTTTGCATTCCCAATATGTACTCAATTAAATGAACTTCTTTTCTTATAGCTAATAAAAAGCAGCCATGGTGGTCTTCATGTGTGGTATGATGATGAAGCTAAACAATTAGATGCATAGAAAAGAAACAAAATGCACCATGGTAGATGTTCTAGAAAACAAGAAAACAGATGCAAGAGAGATGAGAAAAATTCTGAAATAGTTAGCTTTGCCCCACAACTCACAGGCACATACATGTGTGCACCCCCTACACACATACATACCATATGAGCAACATTTAACTCTTTAGGTTATGATCACTACACTCTTTCTCTTGCTTACATTATCTCTCCCTACCTTGAAATCTCACAGGAGATTTTCAAATGATCTTTTTGCCATCTGAAATTTCCATAACTACATGCTGTGATCAGTTAGTTTCTTAGAGTATGAGT